TATCCGATGAAGCTGCTCTGTGGCTTGCAGACAACACAACAGTGTATGGGGTGGGCATTGACTCCCCTGGTATTGGCCCCAGTTCCTCATACACCGCAAGCACTTCACTGCACAGAAGAAACATCTACACCATCGTTGGAGCAGTTAATCTCCATAAGGTCCCGGCGAAAGGGTATTCTTTGGCTGCCTTGCCTATGAACGTAGAGAATGGTACCGGGTCCCTTGTACGTTTGTTGGCATTTAGGACCACCAAATTAAATCCGAAACCTGAGGACACTGTGGATTTGACGTATGCGTTGAACAATGACACCGTGATGTGGGTTGGTAGAGCCCCCTTTCAGTTGTTTAGCGTCCATAAAGGGCCCCTGATAATCGGTAATAATAATTTGTGGTATGTATCATTACTTGACATACTCTTTGAAATCAGTTTTGATAAAGGGACTATCCGCTATCTTCTGCCAAAGGATTTCTTAAATAGAAATGACCACTCATTAAAAATCTTGACCCATATTTATTTGAATGTTAGAAATTACTTGTTCCTGTTCTTGATGATTCACTGAGCGAATTATGTAGAATAATGGTTGATGTAAAATAAATGCCAAGGTATGAATTTGCACTCCCAAGACAAACTGTTATCAAAGTTTGGCGTTGATGCTTGTCTGATGAGCCAAAACAAGATTTGAACTATATTTTTCAGGATGGAAAGAAACAATTTCTGTGGTCCAGAACACATGGGAACCCACCTTGACGCTCCAGCACACTTTATCAAAGACTCTTGGAGAATCCATCAAATCCCCCCTCACGGCCTCATTGGCCCCGCTGTGAGAATAGACATCGACCAAAAGGCTGCAAACGACCCGGACGCAGTTCTCACCGTCGACGAAATCAAGGCGTGGGAAAGAGAAAACAGGCGTATACCGGAAAATGCCATTGTTTTCTTATATACCGGATGGGGGAAATATGTAAACAATTACACGGCATATCTTGGAACCGATAACCGTGAGAATTTTCTTGACGAGAATGGCGTGCCGAGGACACACTGGCCAGGCTTCTCAGCTGAGGCCGGAGAATGGCTTGTCAGCGAGCGACAGATCCTTGGAGTAGGGATAGATGCTTTAGGCTTCGACCGCGGGTTCACTGTTTTATTCGAGACCCACGTTTCATTCCTCGAGGCACGAGTTCTAGGTCTGGAAAACATTGCAAACCTGGACAAGTTGCCCAAAACTGGCACTACTGTGTTTGTTTTCCACATGGTATACGTTGATGGAAGCGGGGCAGCGACCAGGGTTGTGGCCCTAAAAGATGGTCTTCAGACTCCAACGACCCAAACGCCCCCTACCAGCCCATCCCCAACGCAGTGTGTGACAGGATCTGGTTGGCGTGTTCTTGCCTCTCTCCGCAGAACCGCTGTATTGGCTTTTGGGATTTGTTTCCTAGCCGTGCTATTTTAATCTGAAATGAACGTATCTAACTGTGGCCCCTATCTGCCCTAGAACATGAATTTCATTGATTTACATGCCAGGATCCTGGGCCAGCTATCTACGAGACGCTGCATTCCCTGTTAACGTTCCAATACCTAACCACCCTCAACGCAGTGTCACCGTTTCTTGCGCCATCTATCGGTTATATCAGTCACTGCATTTTCTTGCTGTAAAACGTTTGAATGACAAACCTTATTTCTTTTAATCATAGTATGGGAATTGAATTCAGAAATTGTACATTCCAATATAATGCATGTAGAACTGTTGTATAAAAATGAATGTTTCTCAAAGGGCAATACAATACTAAAGTAACCTCATTTATGGGGTCTAAAACCCAATATTTATAACTGTATATTTATAATCTGGAACATGCCCTGAGTTTAAATTTGTGAATTAATTTTGATATTTTCCGATATTTTGATGAAATGTATAGTGAAAAACGACATTTTATTCATATTGTATATTTTTCTTTTGGACTTGGAAGGACGTAGAATTCAGCAGTTTTTGATGTTTTAAACTTGATGTTTAAAATGAGATTATGTCAATTAAAATTACTTGCATGCACCTAAATACACTTTATTGGGATAACTTTAGATATTATAATATAAATAAATAAATAAATAAACGAAAATATGACTACAAATTTAGCCTTCCATTTTATTTCCTGGGTTGGTACTGTTACTTATTAAAAACGTGAAAAATGATTGCTCATGAAGATGCAAGGCGTAATTCATATAAGTGATGTCAATATTTTAACAAATTATCAAGACCGTCAAACAAAGGCATTATTTTGTGTCTTTACCAAAGACAATCAGAGGGAAGACTTCCAGAAACGTTTCTTGCTCCGATTTGTAGTATTTTGTCGTGGATAAAAAGGTGTTAAGAAGAGGTTTGTAGTTGTTACGGTGAGAGAGATCTGGTTGAATCTGCTATTTTCACCCCCAAACCGATGTATTTTCACCTAAAGCTCTACTGTCACGTCGTCAGCTCAAATTATCGCACTCATCCTGATGCAATTTAGATGTGACAGAATAATACATAAGAGCTATGTTTATTTCCACATCAGCTAAACGGATAAGGCAAAAATACCTTAAGTATACCTAAAGTACCGCGGTGCGTAAGTTGTATGTTTGTTGAATTTTACATTGGCTTTATTGAAAACATGAAAAATGATTGTTCATGAAGATGCAAGGCAGGTAATTCACATAAGTGATGTCAATGTTTTAACAGATTATCACTGGTTTACCTATACCCAAGACCGTCAAACAGAGGCATTATTTTGTCTCTTTACTAAAAACAATCAGCAGTAAGACTTCCAGAAACGTTTCTTGCTCCGATTTGTAGTATTTTTGTCGTGGATAAAAGGCGTTAAGAAGAGGTTTGTAGTTGTTACGGTGGGAGAGATCTGATTGAATCTGGTATTTTCACCCCCAAACCGATGTATTTAAACCCAAAACTCTACTGTTATCAAATTATCAAATTCATCCTGATGCATTTTAGACGTGACAGGACAGTACATAAGAGTTATGCTTATTTCCACATCATCTAAACGGTTAAGGCAAAAATACCTTAAGTACCTAAAGTACCACGGTGCGTAAGTTACGTTTGTTGAATTTAAAGTTGGGCTATGTACATGTACGTTAATTAAGTCACACAAGGAGAGCACAGACATACCTGTTTACCCAGAATCCACTACTCTCGTCTTTTTGCACCTACCCAGCAAACACGTCACATTCGAATCACGTGGCTAGCACGATGCTACCAAATTATTACGTCATAGCAACGTGCTAGTCACATGACACCTGACTTGTTTGCTGGGTATGCACGAGCGCAGGTGGACAGATTCAGCTTCACGACGCAAACGTATTGTTATCGGGATGTGAACAAAATACAGAACAGGAAAAAACATCTATAGATATTGCTATTTATACATTGCCCCCCTACAGCCGCTATAGTACAGAACTGCCGTGTGCATATCAAATAGCGTGTACACCTTACCTTTTTTATGACACAAAATTGAGGATGAGATTTGTTACTTCCTGTTTTTAAAGGGAGCATTCTATTGCCTTACATGTACATCTACATGAACATCTTAAATCATATGCTTTTTTTTTTTGGGGGGGGGGGGGCGGGGGGTGAGCATAAAATTACCACCCGTTACGAAAATTACATTCGGGAGGAAAGGCAACATGCAAAGAATTTCAACACTATTTACTTGCTTAAGCCAAGAAAACTCACCCAGATGTAGGTTTATAGGCCTAATGATATTTTGAAATATGCATCTAGATATAGTCATGATGGAAATTACTAGTTTATAAATTGTAAGTGACCTCATGGAAATTCGACATTATTTATGTCCTGCCTTTATCCCGTGCACATTCACTTTAAGCAGTCGACCCCAGACGTTACGCTATAAGTTGCATACTAACTATCCTAGGCGTAGTTTAACGGCTTGGTATACGGAGGTGCGTCTTTTTTGTAATAAGGAGGGTAGAGCGAGCGTGATCAGACTTATAGAAAAAGAATAAAAGGTAAGCTAACCAAGTGTTCTTCGGGTCCATTTTCAACTCAACATGATTACTGTGAAAGAGGTTTTCTGTGGTCTCTGGATATAAAACGGAGTTATCCTTTAATTAGGGTTTACACTAGCAAACCACAACGTTTCGGTGCACCTTCTAGGATCCTCGTTCTCGTGAATGGTGGTTGCGCGTTGGTATCCTGTGAAGTTTACACCAGAGCCCAACGTCGTTCCCCTCCTTCCCCCCCCCCCCTACCACTGCCACGCCCATGCCCTGCGACAAGGACCGCTAACTCCCAAAGGTTTCTGATATTGTCCAGTTTTCTTAGTTATGCATGACAAAGAGACGTTGGGAATTCACACGGCATAACTTTGATGTCATCAAAGCTGCATTCCGACTTCAAGACGTTATGTGGTGCGGATTAGGCCTAATGTGTTATACTTGTAAGAGTCCTGGATTTTTTATCCCTAATTCTTGACATTTATCTCTTACGAAAGATCTAAAATATGTCCTTAGATTTTAATCTTTACATAATTTGAAACGTTGATTAATTTGACAGGTTTAACCTTCAGCAAAGAGTCATTCACACTGTCACGCCTTAGAAGTTTGGTCACGCCGCAGGTGACAGGTGATAAAAAAGATACCAACGTGCTAGTGTTTGTTTGTGACGTCATCAAATTGAGTATTGTGCTATCAACTGAGAGCATGTCAAAAAAATATATATATAAATACACGTATGTGATACTTTCCATGTTTCACTGCACCTAGTTCAAGAACAATGGACTAAAAAAAATTTTTTTACAAAGCACTTACTAAAACAATTTGCCGTTCGTTACCAGGTTATGCGCCATCTTAAGAAACAAGATATCTCAAACCGAATGTTCAGTGTTTGAAAGATTGTCTAAGACTAAGTAATACTGAGATATCTATACCTGTAGATACACGTAACTGACAATGGTAGAAAGGCGTGAAGAAAATAATGTCGAAGTTGAAATTTCAGGGACCATGCATCATCATCTTTTCCTTTTATTGGTGACTGCGTGTCTTGCACGTGCAGACAATCACGGGGGTGTCACGTGGAGTCCAAAGGCCAATGAAGTCATCGACTTGACGCACCATTTGCATCCAGATACTCCCGTGTTTCCCGGAAGTGTGGGATTCAACTACACTCGCATCCACAGAGGACCGTGGGAGCACGGAGCAGGATGGTACGTGATATTACAATTTTACTACTCCACTCTCTACAAGCTACAAATAGAAAAAAAACTACTGAAAGTCAATCTTTTCGGTTTTGGTAGACCTAATCGTTATAAAAAATTAAGACACGTTGTGATCGCGACAGAAATTAGATATTTGTGCCCGAGCAAAGTTGAAAAGTGAACCTTTTGACTAATTTAGAATTTTTTCTATAGACTACTACTTCTTAGTAATAACTTAACTACATTTCTGTTCAGTAGGCCATGCAAATCAAACAATTCAACTCGGCCTCCACATTTCTTCCTTTTTGCCGAATAACGCGATCAAAAGAAACCAGAATCTCAGCAAATCTAATTAAAGTTGCGTGGATCTTTTTTTCTGTCACTGTAGGCTAGAAGACAATGATATTTGTGGATCAGACTTAATGGGTACTGCCCTTCTTGCGCCTGCGCGATGGGCGCAAAACAGATGGTACGTCAACGAGATTCCACCGCACAGGTTCTTTGGTCCTGTGGTGAAAGTGGACGTTTCAATGAAGGTCGAGAATTACAGCAACTACAATTTATTGGTGAGCGACCTGAAGAGCTGGGAAAGCCAACATGGCCGAATACCCGACAACGCTATCCTACTCGTTCAAACGGGATGGTCCAAGCATTATGGAAACAAAACTGCTTACTTTGGAACTGATGCTGCCTCGTTCTTGATAAACGGAGAACCAACGACCAATCACCCCGGGATATCCGATGAAGCTGCTATGTGGCTAGCAGAGAACACAACAGTGTATGGGGTGGGCATTGACTCCCCTGGTATTGGCCCCAGTTCCACATACACCGCAATCACTTCACTGCACAAAAGAAACATCTACACCATCGTTGGAGCAGTTAATCTCCATAAGGTCCCGGCGAAAGGGTATTCCTTGGCTGCCTTGCCTATGAACGTAGAGAATGGTACTGCGTCCCTTGTGCGTTTGTTGGCATTTAGGACCATTAAATTAAGTCCTAAACCTGAGGACACTGTGGATTTGACGTATGCGTTGAACAATGACACCGTGATGTGGATTGGTAGAGCCCCCTTTCAGTTGTTTAGCGTCCATAAAGGGCCCATTATAATCGGGAATAATAATTTGTGGTATGTATCATTACTTGTTGTCATATTCTGCAAATCAGCTTAAATATAGACACTATTATCTGCTATATGTATGAGTTTGTATGGAGATGACTCAGTATATTAAACTGTCTCCAAAGGAAACTGTATTTTGAGTGATTTTAAATGGCCTTATGCTCTGTTTTCATGATTGCCATGAAGTATTACGAGAATGGACATAAAAGGGAATGAAATGACAATATCTGACCACTTTTTAAAGCCATCATTTAAAATGTAAATAATTTTTGCTCCGAGCGACTTTTTGATCATTTTATGTACATATTACTTAATAAATGTAAAATATGCAATCAGTTCATTGGTATTGGTTTTAATTCCAATGATAAAACTTGAACAAATGTTTTGTCATTGCTGTTATTCTGATTACTGACCAAAGTTAACATAAAACTGTATATTTCAGGATTGAAACAAACCGTTTCTGTGGTCCAGAACACATGGGAACCCACCTTGATGCTCCAACACACTTTATCAAAGACTCTTGGAGAATCCATCAAATCCCCCCTCACGGCCTCATTGGCCCCGCTGTGAGAATAGACATCGACCAAAAGGCTGCAAACGACCCGGACGCAGTTCTCACGGTCGAAGAGATCAAGGCATGGGAAAGAGAAAACGGGCGTATACCGGAAAATGCCATTGTTTTCCTATATACCGGATGGGGGAAATATGTTAACAATTTCACGGCATATCTTGGAACCGATAACCATGAGAATTTTATTGACGAGAATGGCGTGCCGAGGACACACTGGCCAGGCTTCTCAGCTGAGGCCGGAGAATGGCTTGTCAGCGAGCGACAGATCCTTGGAGTGGGGATTGATGCTTTAAGCTTCGATGTTGGCTTCACTGTTTTGTTCAAGGCCCACGTTTCATTCCTTGGAGCACGAGTTCTAGGTTTGGAAAACATTGCGAACCTGGACAAGTTGCCCAAAACTGGCACTACTGTGTTTGTTTTCCACATGGTATACGTTGATGGAAGCGGGGCAGCGACCAGGGTTGTGGCCCTAAAAGATGGTCTTCAGACTCCAACGACCCCAGCGCCCCCTACCAGTCCACCCCCAACGCAGTGTGTGACAGGATCTGGTTGGCGTGTTCTTGCCTCTCTCCGCAGAACCGCTGTATTGGCTTTTGTTATTTGCTTCCTAGCCGAGATATTTTGATCTGAAGTGAACATACCGATACAAAAGTCAAGTATCTAACTGTGGCCCCCATCTGCCCCGGTCCTTGGATTCCATTGATTTACATGCCAGGATCCTGGGCCATCTATCTCCGAAACACTGTTTCTTCAATACCCTTTACGCAGTGTGTCACTGTATTCTGCGCCATCTATCGTTTATATTAGACACTGGATTATCTTGCTAAAAACGTTTGAATGACAAACCTAATTCCCTTTAATCATAGCATAGGGATTGATTTCAGATATTGTGTATTCCAATATAATGCATGTAGAACTGTCGTATAAAAATGAATGTTTCTCAAAGGGCAATTGCGGCCATTTTGTAAGAATCTGCAAAGTCTACAATACTAAAGTATATGTATATATAATCTCATTTAAACCCAGTATAACATCTGGAATATGCCATGAGTTTAAATTTGTGAACTAAAATTGATGTTTTTCGTTATTTTGATGAAATATATAGTGAAAATGATATTTATTCGCATTCTATATTTTTCCACTGGACTTGGAAGGACGTAGAAGTCAGTAGTATTTGAAGTTTTAAACTGGATGTTTAGAATGATATTATACCATTTAAAACTACTTGCATGCACCTAGATACACTTTATTGGGATAACTTTAGATATTATAATATAAATAAATAAATAAACGAAAATATTACTACAAATTTAGCCTTCCATTTTTTTCCTGGGCTGGTACTGTTACTTATTAAAAACGTGAAAAATGATTGCTCATGAAGATGCAAGGCGTAATTCATATAAGTGATGTCAATATTTTAACAAATTATCAAGACCGTCAAACAAAGGCATTATTTTGTGTCTTTACCAAAGACAATCAGAAGGAAGACTTCCAGAAACGTTTCTTGCTCCGATTTGTAGTATTTTTGTCGTGGATAAAAAGGCGTTAAGAAGAGGTTTGTAGTTGTTACGGTGAGAGAGATCTGGTTGAATCTGGTATTTTCACCCCCAAACCGATGTATTTTCACCTAAAGCTCTACTGTTACGTCGTCAGCTCAAATTATCGCACTCATCCTGATGCATTTTAGATGTGACAGAATAATACATAAGAGCTATGTTTATTTCCACATCAGCTAAACGGATAAGGCAAAAATACCTTAAGTATACCTAAAGTACCGCGGTGCGTAAGTTGTATGTTTGTTGGAATTTACATTGGGCTGTACGTCAATAAAGTCACGCTAGGATAGCACAGACATATCTGTTTGCTTAAAAACCACTGCTCTTGTCTCTCTGTACCTACGCACGAGCGCAGGTGGACAGATTCTGCTTCACGACGCAAACGTATTGTTATAAGGAGTGAACACCATACAAGACAGGAAAAAACATCTATAGATATTGCTATTTATACATTAGCTCCCTAAAGATGCTATTGTACAAAACTGGCGTGTGCGTATCAAATAACGTTTACACCTTACCTTCCTTTTATGACAAAAAAAATTCTGGAATGAGATTTGTTACATTCTTCATATGATATTGCCAAAATGTTATTAAAGGGAGCGTTCTATTGTCTTAAGTTTGTATCTACACGCACATGTGTATCTTGAAACATATTTTTTTTTTGGGGGGGGGGGGGGGGAATAAAATTACCAACCATTACGAAAATTACATTCGGAAAGAAAGGCAACATGCAAAGAATTTCAACACTATTTACTTGCTTAAGCCAAGAAAACTCACCCAGATGAAGGTCTACTCATGAAATGTGCATCTCGATATACATGTAGTCATGATCGGAAAGTACTAGTTTATAAATTGTTAGTGATCTCATGGAAATTCGACATTATTTAAGTTCTGCCTTTATCCTGTGTGCACAGTCACTTTAAACAGGTGATCCAGGCGTTATTACGTTTTAAGTTACATACTAACAATCCTGGGCTTAGTTTACTGGCTGGGGTATGCGGAGGAGCGTCTTTTTGTAGTAAGAAGTTTAGAGCGAGCGGTATCAGGCTAATAGTAAAAGAATTTAAGGTTAGTTAAAGAAGTGTTCTTCGGATCTATTTTCAACTTAACATGATAACTAAGTAAGAGGTTTTCCGTGGTCTCTTGATATGATTATAAAACAGAATTAGCCTTTATTTAGAGACTTAATAACACTAGCAAACCATGACGTTTCGGCCCACCTCGTTCACGTGAATGGTGGTTGTGCGCCGGTATCTAGTGAAGTTTACATGAGAACCCAACGTCCCTCCCCCGCCCCCCGCTCTGCCACGCCCATTCCCTGCGACCAGGGCCCCCAACTTGTAACGGTTTCTGAAAGCTTCCAGTTTCCTTAGTTATGCCTGGCAAAGAGATGTTGGAAATCACGCGGCATAACTTTGCATTTGATGTCATGAACACTGCATTCTTCAGACTTCAAGACGTCATGTGGTGCTGATAAATGTGTTATACTTGTAAGACTCTTGGCTTTTTTAGCCATAATTCTTTGCATTTATCTCTTAAGAATGATCGAAAATATTAGGACCTACTTGTCCTTAGATTTTTCTTTGCAGAATTTGAAACACTGCTTAATTTGACAGGTTCACCCGTCAGCAAAGTGTCATTCACACTGTCACGCCTGAGTTTTCCTAAGTTTGGTCACGCCGCAGGTGACAGGTGACAGGTGATAAAAAGATACCAACGTGCTAGTGCTTGTTTGTGACGTCATCAAATTGAGTATTGTGCTATCAACTGAAACTGGGTCAAAATAAATGTATAAATAAAAAAATACACGTATGTTATGCTTTCCATGTTTCTCTGCACTTAGGTCAAGAATAATAGACTCAAAAAATATTTTTTATACAAAGTACTTACCAAAACAATTTGCTGTTTGTTACCAGGTTATGCTCCATTTGCAGAAACGAGATATCTCAAACCGAATGTTCAGCGTTAGAGAGATTGCCTAAGACTAAGTAATATTTAGATATCTAGATACATGTAACTGACAATAGTAGAAAAGCGTGGAGAAAATAATGTCAAAGTTGAAATTTCAGGGACCATGCACCATCATCTTTTCCTAATGTTGGCGACAGCGTGTCTTGCACGTGCAGACGATCACGGGGGTGTCACGTGGAGTCCAAAGGCCAATGAAGTCATTGACTTGACGCACCATTTACATCCAGATACTCCCGTGTTTCCCGGAGCTCAGGGATTCAACTACACCCGTATCCGCAGAGGACCGTGGGTGTACGGAGCAGGATGGTACGTGATATTACAATTTTTTACTACTCCACTCTCTTCAAGCTACAAATAGATTAAAAAAAAAAAAACGACTGAAAGTCACTCTTATCGCTTTTTATGATGAGCATGTCCATTGGTAATCATTATAAACTATTAAGACAAATTTTATGGTGATCGCGTCAGGAATTAGATATTTTTACCCGAGTAAAGTTGAAAAGCAAACCTTTTGACTATTTTAGAATTCTTTCTATACTACTAGTTAGTAATAAGTTATTAATTTTAGTAATAATAAGTAAATAAGTAATAAGTTAAGTTGGTTTCTGTCCAGTAGGCCATGCAAATTAAACAGTTCAATTCAGCCTCCACATTTCTTCCTTTATGCCAAAAAATCGCAATCAAAAGAAACCAGAATCTCAGCAAATCTAATTAAAAGTTGCGTGGCTCTTTTTTTCTGTCACTTAAGGCTAGAAGACAATGATATTTGTGGATCGGACTTAATGGGCACCAGTCTTCTTGCGCCTGCGCGATGGGCGCAAAACAGATGGTACATCAACGAGATTCCACCGCACAGGTTCTTTGGTCCTGTGGTGAAAGTGGACGTTTCAATGAAAGTCGAGAATAACAGCAACTACAACTTAATGCTGAGCGACCTAAAGAGCTGGGAAAGCCAACATGGCCGAATACCCGACAACGCTATCATACTCGTTCAAACGGGATGGTCCAAGCATTATGGAAACAAAACTGCTTACTTTGGAACTGATGCTGCCTCGTTCTTGATAAACGGAGAACCAACGACCAATCACCCCGGGATATCCGATGAAGCTGCTATGTGGCTTGCAGAGAACACAACAGTGTATGGGGTGGGCATTGACTCCCCTGGTATTGGCCCCAGCTCCTCATACACCGCAAGCACTTCACTGCACAAAAGAAACATCTACACTATTGTTGGTGCGGTAAATCTACATAAGGTCCCGGCGAAAGGGTATTCCTTGGCTGCCTTGCCTATGAACGTAGAGAATGGTACTGCGTCCCTTGTGCGTTTGTTGGCATTTAGGACCGCTAAATTAAGTCCTAAACCTGAGGACACTGTGGATTTGACGTATGCGTTGAACAATGACACCGTGATGTGGGTTGGTAGAGAACCCTTTCAGTTGTTTAGCGTCTATAAAGGGCCCCTGATAATCGGGAATAATAATTTGTGGTAGGTATCATTACTTGTTGTCATATTCTGCAAATCAACTTAGATATAGAGACTATCTGCTATCTTCTGCTACATGTACGAGTTTGTAATATGGAAATGACTCAGCATATATTAGACTGTTTCCAAAGAAAACTGCATTGTGAGCGATTTTGAATGGACTTATTCTCTGTTTCCATGATTGCTATGATGGTTTAGTAGATCACCCAAAATGGACATCAAAGGGCATGAGATGGTAATATCTGGCCACTACTTTAAGTCGTCGTTTGAAATGTAAAAAAATTCTGCTATAGGCGACTTATTGATCATTTTATATAAATGTTACTTAATAAATGGTAAATGTGCAATGAACTCATTGGTATTGATGTTAATTCCGGAGATAATGCATTATGAAAAGGTTCGTCTTTGATATCATTCTGATTACCGACCAAAGTTAACATAGAGCTGTATATTACAGGTTTGAAAAAAACGCTTTCTGTGGTCCGGAACACATGGGAACCCACCTTGACGCTCCGGCACACTTTATCAAAGACTCTTGGAGAATCCATCAAATCCCCCCTCACGGCCTCATTGGCCCCGCTGTGAGAATAGACATCGACCAAAAGGCTGTAAACGACCCGGACGCAGTTCTCACCGTCGAAGAGATCAAGGCGTGGGAAAGAGAAAACGGGCGTATACCGGAAAATGCCATTGTTTTCCTATATACCGGATGGGGGGAATATGTTAACAATTACACGGCATATCTTGGAACCGATAACCATGAGAATTTTCATTGACGAGAATGGCGTGCCGAGGACACACTGGCCAGGCTTCTCAGCTGAGGCCGGGGAATGGCTTGTCAGCGAGCGGCAGATCCTTGGAGTGGGGATAGATGCTATAAGCTTCGATATTGGCTACACTCTTTTATTCAAGACCCACGTTTCATTCCTTGGAGCACGGGTTCTCGGTCTGGAAAATATTGCAAACCTCGACAAGTTGCCCAAAACTGGCACTACTGTGTTTGTTTTCCACATGGTATACGTTGATGGAAGCGGGGCAGCGACCAGGGTTGTGGCCCTAAAAGATGGTCTTCAGACTTCAACGACCCCAGCTCCCCCTACCAGCCCATCCCCAACGCAGTGTGTGACTGGATCCGGTTGGCGTGTTCTTGCCTCTCTCCGCAGAACCGCTGTATTGGCTTTTGTTATTTGCTTCCTCGCCGAGATAGTTTAATCGACCTTTCGGCCCAAAAGATATATATAATACATTTTTGTCCCCGACTCCTCGATTTCTTAGTTTCCATTGAAACACACAGCAGTGACAAGCGCCATCTGTCTTTCAGTCAATGCATTTACCGGTGGTTGATGTTTGAATTCCATGTTTTATTCCCTTCAGTCATGAGTTTGAAGTTTGGAATTATGAGTTGTGAATGAGGTGGAAGGGATTTTGTTTGTAATTTTCCTTATTTACACTTACCAGTATGTGTATTGATCCATAAATCAAAACCTTTTTTTCTTTTGGCAACTTTGTACCTCTCCTTCGCACTTGAATGATCTGTAATAGTTCGTGCTTTGATCATAGTAGTGACATGAGTTATACGACTTCAAAGTGATAAATTTCAGTGACTCATTTTAATATTACATGAAATGTGCTGGCATTTTCCACCCCAACATGAAATCGAACGATATGACATATTTTTTTCTTTTTTTCTTTTCTTTTTTTTTTGCATTGCTTAGGCCCTATTTGTTTATCAGTTGCATACTGTATATAGTGCTTGGTTTTGCATTTTATACGTACGCTAACAAGCCTAATTCTAACATGCATGCTAAAAATAACCAATACATCAGATATGCAGTTCAGTAAGTAGTCGACTGGTTCAATTTTCTTTTCCAATTTGAATGCTACTTTCGCTATACAGAATGATACTGGAATGTTATAGAAGGCCGACTTAAAATCAACTGGCATACCCCTGTACATGTAATTTTAAGCAACGACTTTAAATGACAAAAGTAGTACGCAATTGTAAAACTTCTGATATTCATATTTCTTGTGTTATATTTTTTCAATTTTTTCTCTTTTCTTTTTTTGTGGCATATATTGATGGAATGGGTATATCTTTAACTTAATAAGTATAGTACTATCACAGAAGGCAAGGGACGTGGGCTTAACTTTGCATTTAAGTTGACATTTGGTTTGAATTATATTATCGTTATTCATTTTTACTCAATTCTAGCAATTCCTGTACTGGTGCATGCATTTTATGACCTTGTAATATTTTGTTCATTTATTGCTTTAAGTGCGTTCACAAGGCCATATATGGCCTAACAGATACCAACACGTATTATGTCATAGTATAACCTACACAATAAATACTAACACAACAGCGTTATAGTTATAAATGGTTACTACTTTGCCAACCTTTTTTCACCTGGCAAAGATAACTGGAAGACGCCATGTATATACAAAATACATCTATTTGCCGTGTACCGGTACAGTCACAGGTGATCTATGTCACACAGGTAGTCATATTTCTGTCTCTAAAGCAATTTGTGTCGTTCTGAACTTTCAGCAAAGACTTGACGTGGATTCAACTTCAACGTACATATGTGGAAGTACGCCTCGAATTAGTCTGTCTGAAATTGGCGATGTTCCACTTTAGCTTCACGCCAGTTTAAACATAAAAAGGTTAAACGATTTTATGCCAATTAATGAGTGAAACTATTTCAAATAAAACGTGAACGGATATATAGAATCCTATGGAGTTAATTAAACCAGGTATCTGCATATCCCTGCATAAAATCGACTTCAAAGGGCTCATTTACATTTGGGGCTTATAGTTTTTAACATTTTGGTAATATGTTTTGTATAATAGCCTACGTGCGTATATCTGTTCGGTTGGGATGTGAAACGCTGGTTATCTTTTTCATCTTTCTAACTTTGAAATGTCGTTAAAAAAAGAGAGACGGATACATTCCTTCTTTCTACCTGCATTTGATAGTTTAATTTTATGTTAGCTGGTCTTCGCTTTAAAAAACTGAGTCAGTTACGAAAGGCGTATTCACAACTTGTTATGCCATATATACTACTGTCTGGGGTAAACGGTTGACTGACAATGGCTATAGATTGCTTACTAAGTTCTAGAGTAGAGATAGGCAAACAATAGCTGTTTTTGTCGGTCTTCTTTGCAAAACTCAGTAAACAGCGTACTTTATTTCGTTGTGAAATCATACACATAAAAGGTGGGAACAGTTTATTGGAGAATGCAATTTATTGTCAATAAGGGTGTTCTTTTTTTACAACAAAAGCGGTCTCAACATCGGCGTTTGTCACGCTTGATGTCAGAAATGACAAACAGTGGCAGACATTGACATCGATTCGGTATATGTGTCCCTCTATAGGCACGTCCAGTGGAGAAAACGAACCACCTTTATTTGTCTTTACTATAAGTCTAAACAAACTAAAAGCAGGCCTTTTGGAAGCACATTTAAAATAAAGGAGGGGGGTGTAAACATTTCGAAAATAAGGAAGGGGCGGGTGGGGGGCGATTCTTCTTACCTCTTTTTTACTGCATGGCATGGTTGAAAGAAAAGTGCACCTGGTCTTCATACACCTATATAGAGATAGACAAGCAGAGGGATAAGACACGTCGATATATAGATACAGTGAAGACAGATCGAGATAATCACCTATGTCTCAATGTCGCACCTGAAATTATGGCGAAGCAAAAACTTATATCTCTTCCATAACAGAGAGCCGATTTATCACAGCACACACACACACACGCACACACGCACACAAACACACACACACACACACACACACCCGCACATACACACACACACACACACACACACACACACACACACACAGGGCCTACACACACTATGCCACTTCCACGATGACAGCATAGTCACAGACATTGCAACAGGTGCTCTAATTTTAGTGTTAGGGATCACCTGCTGCAGTGTTTATACTGCAAAACACTACTGCTGTACCAATATAGCTGTAAAAATTGACGCACCTGCATTGAATTGAATTCCACTGTATCACAGTTAAGTCGACTGAATATTGTTTGAGGTGTTATTTTCGCCCGTTTTATGCATTTTACTCTCATCTTTTTTGTTATCTTTACAAAATGATCAGCAGTGCATGAACTGCTCCGTTTGCTTTATTATTAGAGAGGGCGAGGTAGAGGAAGACGGCAAAGAAATGTTAATAAAGGTGTTGAAACTAGGTCTAATTCATTTTAACACAAAAGCAGATAAAATAAGATTAAAATAAGTGACTTTAGGACGATCAACAACGTCACATGAAGCAACTGATCTTAGACGAAACGTAACTGAACTTGAGAAGTGTCAAATTTCATTCAGCATAATGGAATTTTAAAACCAAGATTATCTGAATGCTGAAAACATCATGATCGACTTTCCCTGTGAAACAAAACGTAAAAATATCTACTCTCAAAGTTTTTACATACCAGTAGTTGTGGCAGAGTCAGAACTCAAACGCACTCGTAAATAGAATATAATTTATTGCCCTTTCAAAAATAATAAAATTATCATAATAATAATAATAACGATAATAATGATGACGTAATACTGTACACTGATTTTGAGCATACATAACAGGTTTAGGATTTCAAAAAACAGATAACAGTAAATATAACGTAGACTATAAACAACCAGGAATGGTAACCAGGGACAGAGTATAACATAGTCCGATAGATTTCTACACACTATATAGTGCACTGGAATAACGCTTTTACCGCACGTCAGTCCAGTTTTGTTTCCTTACGGTACATTTATACCCCAAAATAAGATTAGTGATCGACGTTACAATAAAGACACACATCCAAAGTCACTTATCTGGTACAAATTAACTATGGATGTTTGCTAAGCTTCGGAGACAAACTTAACGATAGATGTCGCAAGCATAGATCTGTTCCATCATAGCTTTTTGGATATGTAACTTAATATTTTAATAACAGTGAATAGACAATATGTGCTTCGTTTCACTAATATATATGTATACGCAATAACTAATTAAAATTCATGCAAAGGAAATATCTCCAGAACCGAGTTGCAAACTAGGCATCGCTTGGAGCGAAAATTGCTGGCATACGAATAGTCCAGAAAAAAATTCCAGTGCACTTTGACAATGGATATATCGAAAGTATGTCACTGGAGACTATGAGCTATTTTCGCAGAAAATTTAATGTCGCTAATGATTCAGAACTGTCATCGCTTTTTTTATTTCATTATTGTCCCAAATTAGAACGAACACAATTCGGTCTTAGCTTTAGCCAAAGGTTGGGCTATTGGCTGTTTGGGGGAAACAAACGCTGTGCTACTGGCTTAAAAGCGTTGGCCAGATATATGAGAATTTCCACTTCTGCTCTTACTAAAAAAAGATATGCTTGCATTTGCATCTCGCTGTAATTATTGAAAGTAGCCTACAAATAAGACGAACACTTCTGTAAACAATGGCAAAACTCTCTACAAATACAATTTCCAACGTATACATAAGGTAACATAATTATTAGAAAACCAAGAAAATGCATAAATAGTTTTGTACACTACCTCCTTGTATGGTCAATCTTGTTTCACATTCTTAACATATGGATAGAAAAGAGGCCCATGCCATTGTCACTACAGCTATGTATAAAAATATATATTGAACACACATGGGACATGAAATACACGTGAAAGTGCATGGGATGGTAATATATCAAACATAAAAATATCTTAATATGTACCAAATTTCAAATTTTACTACTGGGAGATGCAAAAAGTATTACCAAAACAGAGAGGAAAAACTGACTGAAGTGTATGTGCTGATACTAGCACTACCATCTTTATCAAATTACCATGTCAGAATACCTTATCAGAAACAATGAATGCTGTAGTTTTACCTATAACGGTAACAATATCGAATCTCTTCGTTTGACAACTAAATATTTATGTGCCATACCAACTTACTGTCTAGAATTCATCTGCAATCTAAGTTAATGAGTAAGATAACATCTTTATATTAAGTACTTCAAATTGTTCACGTGCTTTGATGCCAGCGAGGGGTCTAAGGGACTTGTCAAACAGAGAGAAATTCGAAAATATACCCTTCATTACTTCATCGTTTCACGTTACTAGACAATTTACAAATGAACAAGGGATGCAAAAGTTAGAGGTGTTAAAGGGGCCGAGATCCGTCTCTAAAAAACGTCTGCTAACCCCCTAGGTCGTGTAAGTCTTCCACTAAACCTCCGCTACCTGGCAACACTGCAAAACCGAGCCCTGGACACCTTGTGACGTAACACATACGTCACAAGGCGTATATGTTGCAAACATCAGTTGGGTCGATTTTCAGTTCTAGGCAGCTAGTAATTAAATGTTGGAGCTTTATTTTGTTGCATAACCGCTTCATTTCAACTTTCCAAAATCGAAAACCCCATCCTTTCAAAACACTACAATCAACAAAATACAAAAATGGTCTCCTACACGCTGTAATGCAAAAATTAATTGAGATATACAATGAATGTTGCAAAGACGTAACGTAACAATTTATAAAAGAACCGGTAGAAAACAAGAACAAGACAAACAAATATCAATAGGTCTCATTTTGTTGTGCTCTATATGAATGATTTCTATATAATTTCCGGTAGCAAAGAAAAAATTTTAGGCAGACACCAGTGCTTGAACGTACGAACTTAACATATCAATTTAAACTAAAAGAATATTGTAAATAATGCAACTTTATAAGGCGCAGTTCCACAATGCCTGGGCTTTGTTTGGTGCAATAAGCAAACCTAGAACTAGTCTCTTAATACACTTTTAAGAGAGCTGAGTAGCAACACCTGTAGTAGTAGTAGTTGTGGCAGTAGTAGTAATAGTAGTTGTTGTCGTTGTTAAGAAGTTGATGCAGTTAAGTAAAATGTGGAAATTCCATCACATATAATACACATGAGACAAGGTTGGTGAAATTACAAATTCCGGTACGATACAAATTCAATTCCTTTCGCTAAAACTGACATAGCTTGTTCTTCTATCCTAACCACTTACAATAAATTTCAAAACACAGTGCTGCTCGCACACGTAGGCTACTTACAATTTATCTTACCCGTCATGTTTTTTTGTTAAATAATTGCACTTATAACACATTTATGGAACAATAAAAGACAATAATGAATATACCTAAGGACCTAGGAGAAAGTTCTGTTCATCAAATAGAATCGACTTGCGCAAAAAATTGAGAGGTAACAGTTATTTATCATTTGGTGTTGATCCCGGCGGTTTGCACAATCACCGTCATCTTTGCATATGTAACCTGGATAATCACCACGTGATCAGCTCACGTTAATGACGTAATGCTCACGTTAATGACGTAATGCTCACGTGGTACACAGCGGTCCCCCTTGTCTTCACTTAGTTTACCCCTATCCAAAAGTAAGCTCACACTTTACACCGCATTTTACGGGGTTTGATCCAGCGGTTTCTTCTTTATACCCTGCCGTTCCGAGAAAAGCTGATATCAAACGTATTGAAAGTCAGATTTAAACGCGAGCTTCCCATGTGTTGTGCATTCACTCACTTTAACTTTTCCCTTTCTCCCCTTTCTACAAAAAGGAATAGGAAAAACATGTCCGTCGATGCTTGTCCAAGGCGCAGGGCGCGCTGGGACTCTGGTGCAAGTGGTGTCCATGTAAACTCTCTTGGAATCCAATCTGCATTTCTATACTGGGACTAGGCAGTGGCAGTTTCTACTTTTACTGAAATGGCAGTAAAATAGCTCAGTATAGTTCAATGGATTAGAATAAAATGTCTTAGAAAAGATATATGTTTTTTATCAATAAGTAGAGTGTACCCGTAGGCCCCTCAAACAGTTCTGGCACAATGTTTTAACATTTATATCTAAAAATAAAAATATACTTAGAATTTGTGAACCCTTGATGAAGCTAGAACAATGGAAAAGTAATCCTTATGGGTAAAATCTATATTGTTACAAAAATGGTTTGAAATGCCGTGCAATGATTATCATAATCACTCATGTAAACAGGTTCATCTGTGTAGTTTTGCCAAAAAAGTAGTTATGATTATGATTAACAATATAATACTTATTATCGCCAACTGCGTTGCCGACACACTTTACTTAATTAAGATTAAACATACCTAATGCGTCGTAATGTCCTGACCTCCCATGGTCAATGGGCATATAGACAAGATCAATCTCGTCCTCGAACTCGGGTTGTCCGAGTTCGATCACCTTTGCAATGTTGATCCTCGGGTCCTTGCCCCTTAAGCTCTTGGGACTCTCAAGGAGTTTTTGATAGAGAAAAACCTTCGTCTTTTTCATGTCCGCCACGGCGGCAATTTCCAACTGGCATGCGTAGGTCCCTGGGTGTTGCATGGCGTTGAGTTCATCGTAGAAACTTTGGTATTGTTCGTCGTGTATGGGGGCGGGGATGTCCATGGCAGGGATAGCACTGTCCATGTCTTTTACGCTCCCTTGATGAACCAGCTCCAGCGCTTTCTTTTCGTAACGACTGAAATGCTCTCTCATAAAATCGCACATCTCCTTGCGGAGGTTGAACACTTTTTCGTTTTCGAATCGGAACAGATCTTCCGCCAAAGGAAGTCCACTCTCCGCGTGTCTCTCGCACTTTTGGAGAATCTCGTGCGTTGCTATAGTGAAGGCTCGGAAGAAGCAATCTCCATCCGGGCAACTCGGGACGAAGAGGAATGTGTCCCCGTCCTTGCTGTTCATATAAACTAGATAAAAAGCAAAATGCAATCATTAAAGGTCTGCGAAAAAAATGGCTTCAAAGTTGAAAGTGACAGACTAATCGGTCTACGTGAAGTAGACACGTTTGTAAAGTCATGCCAAAGAACATACTGATATATATATCTGATTGATCTGTGCGTCACTTCAAAATGTCATGCTTAATAAACATATGCACATTTTTAAAATAATTTATATCTTATTTTTGCTGAAGGCGATTACTTAGTCACGTTTCTGGCGGGTAATGAGACACCCTAGTTTATTCAACTTAAGTTCCCATTTACTACTCTTTACTACAACGATTATCGTTAGATTTCTTGTAGTTTGTCAAACTTTTAACTAGTATCACGACTGCTTACTTTTCTTCCTCTCTCTCAGTGGAGTGAGTTTATAGTTTCCTTTCCCACCGCGAAATTTCATAAACCCAGCGGGTGAATTCGTCACGTGACCATTGCCGTTGCTCTTCCCAGAGTTGCTGTTACCGTTGGGTTTGCCATTTCCATTGGTAACAGGTTCCACTGTATAACACAAATGAAGGAATCGTGATGCAATTCATTTTTTATTATTGGGGCAAACATTTTCTCTGGATCAAACACTAATTTATCCATATATATATATACTGACGAAAAAGTTATATATATATATATATATATATATATATATATATATATATATATATATAACTTTTTCGTCAATTTTTTTTTGCAGAATACAAATAGTTTGAAAGCAGTAATCCTAAGTCCAATGTTTGACTATCTTTATGTCCGAGGACAGAGGATAATATGACGTCACTTACCATGCCCATTTGCCACTGGTTGATTTACAGATGGGTCGAATACTGTTATCTGAGTAATTTCAACGGGTTGTTGCTCTTCTGAAAGATATGGATATGGATATGATAAGTTTAAATTCGGGAGGATAAATCTATTGTTTATATCAACGGCATGGAAAATTTGGAATTTCATTCAAATATTCTTGTTCAGGAAAATGCTAAGATAAAGTTTTTTCCTTTTCAACCATTTAACGTTCATGTTTCGGAAACATATGGCTAGGTATTAAACACATGTACCAAACACCTCTTTTAATTAATGAATAATCAGTAAATAATCATTCATTAATACTATAAAATTAAGGCTGTTAGTATGTAAATGTTTTCGTTAAATCAGCAATTTCAAACGAATGAAAGTGCTTCCATCTTGGCTTCTAAAGTACGCTAAACCTTTTCCACAAAACAAACACTATAATCATCAAAGATATGAAAAAGCTAGATTAATTACTATTCTTGGATTTCGGCACTGCATTGTGATTAACATCAGAACTCTTGCTGGAGTCGCTCCGTTTGCTGATGCTGCCTCCATCCAGAACATCGTGACCCATCTGCGTCATAGGCAAGTGACCATTTGAATGCACGTGGCCATTGGTGTAAACATGTCCATTCATGTATCCATTTTTATCTGTACCTGTTTTAAAAACCAAATATTTAAAATGCGGATCGAGGAGGGGCAGATTCTCTTTTCCAAAGCAGAAAGAACTGTTTTTAAGGCACAAAAAAGCACCTTCCGTACATATTTCAAAAATTAATAACTTCTACCCTTTTTTGTAAATAAATTTTAAAATAAAAATCGCATAGGAGGGATGGTTGCATAAAAATTGAATCAGATATTTTTCGATTCGTTTTTTTGACAAATGTATCCATCTTATCTTGTCACTTAGGTATATCAAATTAAAAGGTAGCAAATACTTTACGTTTACTTTGAATGATATTTGCTTTAAGCTCATATTGCAACATGACGTACGAAATTGCATTGAAGACTTACCTAAAGTGCTGCTGTCATAATCGAATGTCGTAAAAGGATGCGGGTAATGCTGCCGCGATTGGTGTTTGGTTTTGTTTCCATGGCGACAACAACACGTTGCTAGGCACTGTTCAAAGTCAACCAATTCCGCACGACAGCCTTCTGTAATACATAAGTAAAGGTTATAGCCAAACATACCGAATATCTGCTGTTTACATTAAACATACCTGCCGAAGCCATCTAAAACATAGTTTAGAAAGAACGGTGTCTGCTTGGTATATACCTTTCTTTGGAGCATTGTCTTGCTTTGCAAAACGAGGTATATCAAATAAACCAGTTTTTATGCACAATATCACTCTTGAACAACTAGAAACTCGAATGCGTTTTGTATGGCATACACATGTATCTTGGTGACAAAAGTAAACTGCTGAAATTGTCGAAATTGCCCATAGAATCCACCTTTCTGCATAAATGTGTGACGCACTGCACTGCACGCACTTTAACATATCAACCCCCGATGTCCACGCCACCCAGTCAACACTAGGTGAAGTACCGCAAAAACAAGTCAATACATACTCACCCGAACAAGAGAGTCTTAGGCAACAATTGCAACAACACCGCCTGCAACTGGCGCAGCAGGCACAGCAGATGAAGAGCACGATCACGGACAACACTGAAAATGCATTAAAAGGATATTTACAGTAGGCGTGTGGGCAGGCTTAAGCGCATGACCAATGGTCGGAATTTTATGGACGGCACTTAAGTGATTCAGAACATTTGATTTTTGGCCAGTAAAATCGGCGAGTCAGTCTTGGAATCAAAAGCCCTCTGATAAACGTGATATATCCAAGTTTAAAACACTTAAAGTCTCTTTACTTTACTGTGTTACAATCTAACCACAAGCGACATACTAAACCCTAATTCGCTGAATACATTTTTCCTCTTAGTTATTATCATTATTATGAGGAAAGTTTCAGTCCAGATGGTCTGGATAGCCCCCCCCCCCCACCCTCTTTGATGTTTTGCCCTTGTTTGAAGAATCTATTGCCATAATTTTCTGAGCCAAGTCATTTTTTCGTGACATACCTATAAAACCTGCTCCTCCCCCGAGGATATAGAACCGATACTGCTGCCAGATGTTCGTCTCAATCTTTGGAGTGAGGGTTGCGGCAGTCGTTCCTGGATCCCCTGCAGCCGTGCCCGTTGTCTTGGTTACTAAAAGGAATTTACAAAGTGAGTTATAAGGACAACGTTTTTTTTAAGTCTTCAAAGTGAATCTGACGTGTTAGGTAAAACGCTGACGAGCCACGGAATGCCTTAACGCAAGCTATTGTGAAAAAATGTATGACGCACCCCTGCTCTACTTTGAATTTTGAATCTTGCTTCCAGTAGAAAGCAACATACCTCACCGTACGCGTGATCCACTCCGTGATCCTGATAGGCCGAGGGAAAAATACTATAAAAATGAGATCAGGATCAATGGCTCGCTGGGATATGAACGACATGTAAGCTTAACAGCGTTTTTTTTTAAATAAAAACAAACATTTTAGTAACAAACTACATCCTATTTGAGTGCTAATGTGAATGTATGATTTTGACTGCACCTGAATCAAAATGATTTTAAAGAAACAAGAATTATCACATCGAAGTGAAAATTAATCATTATTCTGTCACGCTTCAGCTTGCTTATTCCATACTTCAGTTTTTCTTTTCCTATTCCTGTTTTCAAGTTAGGAAAGGGCTGTACTTAATTATATCACGAAGGGAAAATATGTGGCAAACAGCCTTTATCTGTTTTATCCATACAAAACATGACAAATGACAGGCATCTTTGACAAAATTAGGCGCTGTCAACCCTCAGTTAAACTGCACGTCAACAGTCCTTTGGTGTATATTATACACTGAGAAATGTTACTCAACATCTTGGTTCGACGCACCCGTCACATTTGTAATTCTGCCTGTCCTTTCTGACACGCTAAAAGGGAGCTTTCACAATGAGATATGCCGACGTACAATGTGGCCAATGCGCACGTGCTCCACGAGGACTCTCGGTGAATGCAACTAGAATGACAAACTAACACGCCTCCTCCTGGCATTGAGTAGAATACAGAGAAGCTGGTGATTATACGAATTCGTTGGATACAAGGGGAGGCGTGTCAGCCTGTTAATCTGATTGCATTCAGCGTGAGTCCCCGTGGAGTTAGTGAACATAAGCTTGGTCGTCATAACTAATTATGGACGGTCCCTTACAAACCAGTGAGCCCCGGAGTAGAGAGAAGTAAATATAGACATAAGTGCTCTTCTTTTTTTTTAACGTGATGGAAATTACGGTGGCACAGCAAGGTGGGGTTGGGGTTGGTGGTGGTGGTGGTGGTGGGTGGGTGGGGGGATTGGTAGGATTAACGGATCCCGAGTCAGCCACGCTCAGTGTAGGAACAAACGGTACTCTGTCATTAACATCTTGTGGAGTTAGTCTCAACACTGGTGCTTCTCCAACACAGAAACCATTTAATATCACCAAGAAGTTGTACAACTTCTTGATATCACACACATATCCCACAGCGCAGCCATAAAGTTCTCTTTTATTACTCAATGATATTTACCGTTTATTTTTTTACATACCAAATACAGATCTAGATAAACAGATACCGTTTTCTCTATGTCTTCGTTTTTAAAACAAAATTGATCTGAAAAATAGCGGAGAAGCAAGTGAAGAACAAAGATTAATCGACAAAAAAAAAAAAAAAAAAAAAAAAAAAAAAAACTCACCAGTTGCATTAGAAGCATTCGTAACCGCGGTCGTAGTCGTGACACTGTTCTCTCCTACAAAAAGTAATAAACAGCTTATCGCTTTGGGGGAAAATATTTGTTTATTATATGCTGCTACAACTCTCGCTGTTTTACTCATCGAAAGAAAACGATCACATAATAAAAGCTGCTATAAACAATAAATATGATAAGGATGGCTTAAATACAGTGTGGATGGCAGGAGGTGGCCATGTTTAGATTTACATTTCATTTCTCAAAAACACCAAAACTTCAAAATTAAAGCACTTTAATTATTTCTAGTGTGTGCTCACGTAAGGGGCCGAAGCAAGCTTGTTGCTTCACAATATATTGAAAACTTAGATCATAAGGCAGCCTACCAAGGGACTATACGTGTTTAGCTAGCTCGAAATATAAAACTTATATAGACCCAAAAATTTGGACCAAAATTTAGTCTACTTTGACCAAAGACAAATCAGCAGCAGTCCAATTCAATGATCTATTGCACCTTTTGTTTCAGAGAATATTTTCTTAAAGTCGTTTTCCATGGGCTTTATCTTGTATCTAAAAGTTCATTAGTCTACAGTTGTTTTGGACTCAGCTGGCTGTTATCGCCCTACCTGTTATAAAAACACTTTCCATCTCTTTTTGCGGTCACCTATTCATTGATTTCTTTTCCATTCGTAAACGCAATTAAGTGATGCAAGAAGTTCAATATTGAGAAAACAATACTTTGTCGTTTTCCGAGAAATGAACGCTTTGCGCGCACACAGTTCAAACCCCGGTTATTCACTATCTGAACTTTACGGTGTGGTTTGATTCAAATGGAAGCAAAACAAAACAAATCAATTACCGGTGATCGTTCCTGAACTGCTATGTCCAGACGAGGGTGATGCTGTTGACGTTAACGATGACGATGTTGATGATGTCACAACTGACGTCATCGATGTCGACAACGTCACTGTTTCGTGTGACGTCATCAAGGGACTGTACGGGGTAGACGTGGCATTGGTCGTGTCATTTTGGCTCTGTACGCATAGGATAGATTGAGTCAGGAAAATTAGGAAGGCCCATAGATGAATATTCATCTGAAAAACAAAATGAATACGTTTTAAATTTTAGTGAAATGATTTGAAAAAAAAAAAAAAAAACAGCGAGGGACAGTATGTTTATTAAGATACGATTTGTGACATTTCTACACTCTATTACGATCAACCCAATACGATTAAAATTGTGAATTAAATTTTTACGTATGAAAGGTTTATATATATAGTAAAAATATTGAAATGCAGCCATCTTCTATGCAAAAGCTTCTTTTTGGAATACACACCATGTGTGTAATGCGTTGTCTTTCAATTCCCTACATTAGCGTGAAAACCATAAACCAGATGGGTCTCGCTACTTTACGGTTTTCATACTCATATAATTGTATATAATGTATTATAACAATATAACAGATGGGTCTCACCACTTTACGGTGTTCACACTAATAACTGTATGTGCTGTATTATAACAACACGCGACAACAGCGTGGCTCATAAAAGATGTGTACAGTAGTTGAAAACAAGACCACGTCTTATAGAAACAAATGCACTTCTGATACACGCCGAGTGCGCCAGAGTGGAAAACCATTTAGACGCATTTAGGACTCTCGTTGTTAACAGATGTTCTTTAAATGCTACTCAAACGTTAGACAACAGATGAAAGCAACTGTGTTCATCACGAGTACAGTATAAAATAAGGAAAATACGACCCCCCCCCCCCCACACACACACCCTTCCAATGTTGAGTTGTAAGTGATTTCACAGGGGGTCGTTTTCAAAAAACAAACAAACAAAAAAAAAAAAAGATCTGCTTTGATACGTTAATTAACATAGGGCAGAATTCAGCGTGGGCATGTTCACCAAAAAACAGCTTCAAAGAGGTGTTTTTAATCCTGTTTTTTTCCATAAAAAATCTTCATGAAAATCAAATAAAGGTGACCATTTGCTATTTAAGTCTTGGTCAATCCCTGAAATACCCTCGCTGCATATACTTGAGTTTTGTGCAGATGTTTCTGTGTGTTCTTTTCTTTTCTTTTTATCTCACTGGCGCAGGAGTTTGGGTTAATTTCCTTCGAATTAAATGAAGTGCATACAATTTCTTATAAGTCTTCTGGTAAATATCGAAAAAGGTGAAATAGGGAAAATTTATATCTGCGCCAGTGAGATAAAAAGAAAAGAAAAGAACACACAGAAACATCTGCACAAAACTCAAGTATATGCAGCGAGGGTATTTCAGGGATTGACCAAGACTTAAATAGAAAATGGTCACCTTTATTTGATTTTCATGAAGATTTTTTATGGAAAAAAAAACAGGATTAAAAACACCTTCAGGAACAATTCATCCTGTATCGTATACAACCTGTTTAATATTGTATAACACAAACCATTATCAAAAGGGCTCATGACCACCATAAAAATCCAATCAACATATTAATACCACGGATCAACAAGGAAAGATGACATCGAAATTGGTTTTTGATCATCTTTAGGGCTAAATTCATTATGTGTTACACGCTTTCTGGACAAACGCAATCATCATTATATCAATGACACATACAGTGAAAACGGCTTCATGACAAACATGATAATTAATTTCCCAGCGATGTAGTGCACGGTCGTTACATGAGACGGCTCTCACTGCTAGGTTGTAATTTCCGTTGAGGACTGTCACCTTTATGACTTTGATTTGATTTCTCAGAAAGCTTAAAAGTCGATGAAAAACAACTGTTGGTGCAGGTGTGACGAGTTCCATTATAATCTTAGGAAGATAACATCCCTTCGAATGACTCGCATCGAAACCACGAGAGTTTTTAGTTAAATAAACTGCAAAGTGATATTTTCATATTTTCTATAAATTTAAAAAGAAAATGTCATAAAAAACGTTATGGAATAAAGTCCCTGTGATGCTGGGATATATACGCATTAATTTGTAGCCCCGTCCTGGATGTTGACTGATTTACGTCACACTTACCCAAACCTGTATGCATCTAATGGTGGTCGGACTCACAATGGTCCTCAGTTTCTTCACATAGGAATAACAATATATGACATACATCACCTAGCCTTTTTTTCGATTTTAAAGTCCAGACCTTATTTCGGTTTTTAAGATATTTTGTGAGAACGGGCCCAGGCCTCGCCCATGATAGCGCACAGTGTACTCAAAGCATATTATCTCTCATCTTTTCAACTGATGTGGTAAACAGGGCAACAGAGTAAATATCTTTATCTTTAAGATACTACACTGGAATGCTGTTGATTCCAACACACAGACAGTCGAGACAGGCATGCTGTGCTTTGTTTAGTAGTAGACTGAAGACGAGAAGGATGTTGTGATATTGCAGTATCGACGTGTTTTGCAGAGTCTTTTGGGCGTTTACGTCTTCAGGGACTAATTTAATGGGAACTCGGGCACTCTTGGGGACATTTTTTCGTGTAAAAATATAAGGGTGCTCCCCGTGGGGTCTCATTCATAGGGTGTCTATGTTAAGCCGTCTCTCTAACGAAATTATATGTTTCAAGGCACTTATGAAGCTCTCTTCAACGGTTTAGTCAAGCGTGAGTTTTTTGTATGCAGGTTGTTTTGAATTATCTGTCGTGCAGAAATGCATTACATTGTGGATACATTTCATATTACTTAACGTCATTCTTTTAAAAATTGCAACGTGACAATAGAAAATATTTATGCTCGAGCTGGCTGACAGTGCTATTAAACCCAATATCTGAAGACTTGTTTATCATGTTTCACCACGTTTTAGATAACGCTTATATGTAACGTCCCTGAAGAGAATAGGAATCAAAACGAAAACGGATAGAAATAGAAAACCACCCAAAATTGCCTCAAACAAGGAGGCCAGCACTATGTGACGTCATAAAAAAACTTTATGTAAAATGCGCAAAAATCTGCGTAAAGTAGGATGTTATTTTCAATTTTAAAAAGCAACAGAAAAGTGACACACAAAACATGGTGAATCCGTTCTGCTGTGCATCTGTAATTAAACAGAATGTAAAATAATACAAGCAGAAATATCTATCTATTAATTAAGGCAACATTTATTGGTTGTATCACCACACTTGCTAGGTTGTCAATATTACTCTTCACTTTCAGTGTACATTGTTATTATGAATCACACTTGACTCGCTTCACTGCCAAGATTCTGCGAAAACTAAAGATCCGCACCTTGAGCGTTTCAGCTGCTTTGTAGATCCTAGTTTTCTACACACCCAAGTAAAATTTTGGTCAAGAGGGGCTTGCCTACAAGTTGGTTCTCAGTCCAGGGTTAAGAGGGAAAAAGACAGGAAAACGCACAGTAGGATGGAATTCTACTAATCTTGGCTTGCATCAGATTATTTAACGATCAGATTAATATATATTTCAAAGGAGGCTCTAGGTACACGCAACTCTTGCTCTCAGGCAATTATGATTTATTAGCGCATTTTAAACTACACGTACAGGGAGCAAAGAATTTTAATAAATTCCGTCAGTAAAAAGAATACCATGACGTCAATCATTCTTAAGAGCATGCAAAAAAGACTGCAAAACTAAATGAAAACTGGCTATCTTGATCATTTATGATTCACCATAGCATTTTGCAAAATTATACGGGTAGAAAATTGAATAATCAGTACCAGTATTAGTCTGGCATGAAAACGATAGCGCAATTCCCATTACTACAAAAATCACAAAACGCACTAAAATCTATCTATTGCATTTCATTAACCCCTTGACCGCAAGTCTGTCAGGCCATTTATACCGTAGCAGTCGCATTTCGCTTGGTTAAATACAACCAATTTGGTCTTAAACGCGTCCCTTAGCGTCTACAGTTACACACGACGTGGGTTTAATGGAGGAAATACAACATTATCTTTAATTGATGATGATGACAAAATCCGATGTAATAGCACTGGTATCATTGCGATTTACCCCTCACCCCCACCACCCCGTTACATCACGTGGGGGGGGGGGGGGGTAAACACGGTATTTTTGTGTACTTGTCACTGACAATCCACACCGTAATCCGTGGTCCAAGATTACCGAGTTTTAGCATTACCCCCCCCCCCCTTGATAGACAAGTAGAATGATTGTAAAAATTACCGTCTTTTTTTAATACCAACAATCTAAACATTAGAATAAATATTCCTAAATATTTCTAAAAAATCTTGAACTCTTTCGATGGATAATGCAAGATGCTACCTATAATGGTCTATTATTAGTATCGATGTAGATTCAATAAAGAAGAGAAATGTTTTCATTACCATCGTGATCAATTTCATTAACATAATTACTACTGACAACTATCATTAGTTTAATCATAAAAATTATCACCATTATGATCATAATCACCCATCACTGCGATATTTCTGGGTAATGCTTCCACGTTGTAGGAAACAAATGGGGCCGTTTGCGCGTGGTCATCAGAGTCGTTATCATTGTCATTTATCACTGGCCATCTTCCTCGCCCATTATCCATTAATGTGACGTGTTAAGTCAAATGATATCGTTAGTTGCCATTAGCAATGTGTTACACGCAATGGTCTATAGGATAATGCAGAATGCAACATTATAGCTATTAATGTTTCGATAGTACACTACCAAAGTATTTTATGTGAAAACGCAGCCACAGAGAAAAGCATTCATTCAATCTGTCATTAGCACTGCTTTTTATAAATAATAAAATCTCATTCACCCACCTGTAAAATAAAGGCAGGGGCGTTTCGAATATTTCTGTTGTGTGTGAACGCGTGCTCGCGTTTGTGTGCGCGTACGTCTCTCAGTTGCCTTACTGAAAAAGTAGCCTTATTGAGTACAGCACTTCGCCCACACCCGAATTCCCCACAAGTATGTGGGAAAATATCTTAATTATGATGTCGTTGCCTTTTTCAACAGAAAACAAGGACAAAAGAAAAGAAGGAATAATAGCTGGAACGCAACTCGTCTTCACCCGCTGGCGTTATGGCACGTCTCTACCCCGCACAGGGGCTTTCCTTCTTTTATTTTTTGAAGGAGATCGTCATCGATCCATCCTTTTTTTACTAGCACTGATTAC